TTGACTGTCCACAGTTGTTATCACACTTTAATTTTCGTATTCCAGCTAGAATTCCACGTAAACCAATTACCCCTCTCTACCCCCCCATAAGTAGAACAATATTAGGTTCCAATTCACCTGTATCAAGATTGCGTCGAATACTAAATAAATATAGCGACACAGTAGATATTCACCATGACTCTGCAGTTTCATTTCGTAACACACTATATAAATTGTTTATTGATGAGTGTCAGTGTTAGTTATAAGACAAACACACATACAATACACCGTACTTGCACATGCCAGAATTTCCAACAAACACACCCGTACATCCACTCTTCACTATATAATTATACGTAGTCACACACCCCTCTGTTTAGTGGCTTAACCTCCGATCCCAAGACATGTGTCATAGGGCTGACAGAGGCCATACTCAGAAACGCAGACGCATACTCACAATCACATCATATCACGCGCACATCATACAAGGGATAAAGCTTATTTTAAAATCATAATGTTAAGTTTCATATTTAAATGCCTAATTTTAGTTTACATTTGCTAATCTGTACGTGTCTTAATGCATGCTGAGTTCACCTGTAAGTAGTTATACATAACTTGCATTGTAAAATCTGAATGTTTATATTTTAAGCACTATGTAATAACTGTTGGTGTTCCTTTTTCAAAAAAAAAAAAAAAAAAAACTTTTATATTACACAACATCTCAGTAAACACTATTACAATAAAAGATACTGATACAATAGGTCCCATATTTTATTATATATGGTTCTTCTACTATATGATCTAAACCTTTTAAAAGAGGATTTATCAGTTTTGAATTTTTACTCAAATCATCTAAGTCTACATTCCATAATATAATAGTATACACATCTAGTACAGTTGTTTTCAATCTTAATAAATTATAACACTAGTCGTTTATTATATCAATCCTGTGTCGCAGGAGACTTTTCAAACATACATGAAACGGACACAAAGTACACCCAGACTCAGAACAACAATTTGTGGATCACACAAAGTGTCGTCCCATGTGGGGTTTGAACCCGCAACACTCGGCGCAGTAGGAAGCGGCGTGGCGACCGCTTAAACCACTACGCCATCCGTGCAGTCCAAATCCAAAAGAGTTAATTGCATACGTGGTGTTTATTACATTGTAGTTCGAGGGAATTAATGTAGCAGTTTTACAGTAGGCGGCGCAATAATTAGGGATATGTAGTATGTATTTATCTAGTATTGTGGTTTCAAACAAATTCTTGTGAGCACAATCTATTGATAATTTACTGGCTTGAGATTAGATCTAAATACATCTATTGTTTTCTATTGGTTTCCAAATATCTAGACGACCAGTTTGGTATCGCACTGAACAGGTATTTCTTTAACAATTTCTGTTAGAAGTTCACTTTCACAACTGGGGTTTGCGTTTGAATTGAATACACTTTACATTTCACAAATATAAGTTTGGTGTTTTCACTGATTTGCACTGCTCTAAATTTTCAAGGTTTCAATAATGTTGTTTGTGTTTGGTCATGCATATCTACTTAGTACTAGGTAATATGGTAGCAAAGCTATTAGGGTTTTCTGATCTATGTGGTATAGGTAGCGGAATATTGTGGAAAGGTTGTAATCTTTTGGTAAGACCAGCGAAATCTGCATTACAAAAATCTTATTATTATAGTAGTAACTAATTACATTAGATATGTTCATTATAACATAGATCAAATCTGATTCTAACTTAAAAGGCAATTCCAGTTAATTGGGCAAATGATTGTAGTTATCGCCAAGCTCTCGGTAAAGTTGCAATTGTGTAATTATAGATGGGTGCATAATGTTTTGGCTGGTTAAATATTATCGCGTTTGTGCTATCTTCTAATTGGAATGATAGAGTTAACAAAATACTTTCGATGGTATTAAGGATACTATTAAGGTGGGAGAGGAATGTTAACTTGTTCAAGGTAATCATGTCGTTTTTCAGTATTGCCGAGAGTTTGTCGATCATTACATTGTAATGTTCCTCATTAATTTTGAGTGTTTGTATAGTCTTACTATAACTAGACAGAGATTATGCCTTGATCAAAATTTTCTTTTTCATAAGTGATGTTATCTGTTTTTCCTTAGATTGAATTGTTGTTATAGCGTTTTCAAATTTTAAACCATCGTCTTCATCTAATGAACAAAAAAAATGTTTTAAATATGTTTCCTACGGCGCCGATCCAGGCTCAACGCTTAAAACGATGAGAAAGTAAGTGAGAAAGGCTGTCAAACTCTTTCTTAACATGTATTATGACAGGTAAAATCTTCAACGATATCACTCTGTTGACATACGTATCTTACTGTATCTAGAATTGAATTTATGTTTTCTATTTGTGGGCCAATGTAAGTAACAACCTTAATTTACCTATAATTATCAAAATATATGTCAGGACTCGATGTCATAGGTTAGACAAAATTCGTGTTGGCTTCCGCCATTATATTGAAAGAAAAATGTAACTTTTTTTTTTTTTTTTTTATTGATCAAAAGTTTACAATGTGCATTATTAAGAAAAAACTACGCCACTCGCTTAAACCACTCAGGTTTTTATGCGAGCGTAGGTTCGCATGATGACTACAACAACAACAGAAGCTATATTATAAAATCACAGATATGTACGCCCACATGTATGCCGAACATGCACACATACACGCGCGCACACACAACACTACTTAACATTATGACAGAGTACTATGTTCAATCATTACTTTCAACCAAGCTACGAAGTAGTGGTTTCCATGTTTTCCAATAAATGTTTTTGTAAATCTTTTAAATAAGGTTGATTAGTAAGATATTTATGAGTTATTTGATCTGGTAAACCATTTACAATATTAGGTAGAAGGTAACGACATGTTCTAGTTCCATGTACATTATTAAAACTTGGCACAAAATATTTCTTTAAATATGACAGCTGTCTTAAATTTCTTTTACGTGTTTGTTCACAAAGCAGGTCTATGTTTAGTATTTCTTCTTTCATAATGGCAATTTTTACCTTAGATTGTACTGGTAATACCTGGCAGTATTTAAACAATTCATTGTAATTGTCACAGTGTTCTGATTTTACATAAGGCGGCACAATAGCTTTCAACAATCTTATTTGTAACCTGTATACTTTTTCGATACATGTTTTGTATGTGCGGCCGTAACTACATAAGCCATAGCCAATAACAGAGTCGGCTAGTGCCACATACAATAAACGCAAAGTTTTGAACGGCATCTTGTACTTTAAAATATATAGTTTGCTAAGTATGGCTCTTAATTTGTTACAAACGTGATCTATATGGGCACCCCAATTAAGTCGGTTATCTATTATGAGGCCTAAGTACATATGTGTGTTTACTTGGTCTAACTTAGAACACGGGCTGCCAGGCTTGCACATAAGGTTGCTATGAAGACATTCATGATCGTGCGCTACTATACTAGGAGTGTAGCTACTCCTGTTATGTGATGATTCTATACACATAAGTATACTTTTTTGAGCGTTTATCACCAGGCCAACGACGAGCGCCCATTGACACATTATATTAAAGTTTTCCTGAAGTTTGAACTCAGCAGTTTTTAAACATTTTTCAGCTACCACTAGGCAGGTGTCATCAACAAACTGGTATACGGAGCCGTGTGCAAACAATTTACACATTTGGTTTACATAAATAATGTATTCATTTGGGCCGATTATCGAACCTTGTGCGGTGCCTTTGTCTGTATTTATACTGGTACTGTATGTATTTCCTACTTTTACTTTCGTGCGCCTATTTTGATGGTAATTTTTAAAAAGCTGCAGTAGTGGTCCTCGTATACCATTCTGCTCCAACCTCTCATACAATACATTATATTGTAGCATATCAAAAGCCTTGCTAAAGTCAACGAAAATAACGAGCACGTGACGTTTTTCATTCAGGTGCTCGTTAATTTCGTTGGTAAATTGACACAGTAATTGAGATGTACTCCGACCTTTTTGAAATCCGTACTGTTTACAATTAATTATATTATGCGAGTGTAAGAAATGGCTTAGTTTATCTCCTATGTACCTCTCAATTACCTTGTCAATGCAGGATAGTATGGTGATGGGGCGGTAGTTATTACAATCCTCGTGATTACCTTTTTTGTATATGGGGCGCACCACGCCTAGTTTTAGGTTGTCTGGGTAGCTGGATGAAGCGATGCATCTATTAATCAGATGAGTAATTACGGGAGTTATTTCTTTGTTAATATGTTTTATGTCAATTGCTCTAATGCCATCTATACCTGGGCTTTTATTAATGTTCAATTTGTTGATAATTTTATATGTTTCCTCGTTACTTATCTTTTGCAGTCGCATCGTCACATCCAACCCTTTTTCGGTATCGTTTGTTACCTCAGTTGACATTTTTTTTCCACACGAATTCATATTTATATCTGTGTTTTTTTAAACTCCTTTGCAAACAAGTTCGCCGCATCACTATCAGATAAAGAAAAATATTTTTGAATTATTTCGTCGACTGAGTTAACGACTTTACCACATAACACATTTATAAAATGCCATAATTTTTTAGAGTTGTTAAAGTTTTTGATAATCTCATTCTTAAAGAACCTGTTTTTTGTGTGACTAATATATTTATTCGTTTTATTTCTATATTTATTGTAGATTATTTTATTTTCTATAGTTGGTGCCCTTTTGTATATTTTTAATAAGGCATAACGCTGTTCACACATGTATATTACTCTTTCATTGACCCAGTTACAAGCGTTAGATTTGTACTTATTTAACCTAGTTTTACGTTGTTTACATAGCTCATACGAGTTCGCAAATATGTTGCGTATATTATCTGAAATGTCATTAGGCGAATTACAAGAAAGACATGCATTCCAATTCGCTCGGCGCAGCTCAGCCACCAGCCGTTCACTATCGTAGGTATAAATAGTGCGTTTGTTTACATCGTCCTGCGGCCGCCGTTCAGTTAGGAGTGTGCATGCCGTTATATAGTGGTCAGCTGGCGACTCATTTATTACCGCGGAATAGATAGTAGCAGTTGTCGCTGTGCTCTGTAATATGTGATCTATACATGACTTTGTGACCAAGTTACCTCTCTTTTCAACACGTGTAAATTGATTAATACAGCTCGTTAATCCCAACTCGTGTAATGTGTTGATATAATCATGTCTTATATTACAGTTTTTCATAATGTCCAGATTCATATCACCAACGAGTAAAATATTACATTTTTCGGCTTTGTTTTGAATTAAGTATTTAATTTCTCTAGTGAAACTGGCGACTGAGAGATTAGGGGGTCTAAAAACCCGATGACTCCTGCAGGAGACTCTACTCGGGGGTTGTGCGGTCCATGGCCCTTTACGGGTACCCAGTATGGGCGGGGGCCCTGAAGGCCAGCAACGTCGCGATACTGCGACGACCGCAGCGAGTGCTGGCCATCAGGATCATAAATGGGTACCGCACGATCTCCTTTGAGGCGGCGAGTCTCCTGGCCGGAACTCCACCGTGGGACCTGGAGGCGAGAGCCCTTGCGGCTCTGTATCAGTGGCGCAAGGAGGCGCGGGAGTTGGGTCGATGCCCCGAGATTCGAGAAATCGATGACCGGAAATCCCAACTCCGCCAGGTCATCATAGGGGAGTGGAGGGAACGACTCGGGCAACCGAGCGCCGGGCACGCCGTCATCGCGGCGGTAAGACCCGTTATGGAAGATTGGCTCGAGAGGCGTCACGGGACCCTCTCATACCGATTGACGCAGGTGATCACTGGGAAGGGATGTTTCGGGGACCACCTGTGTCTGATCCACAAGGAGCCAACGCCTGAGTGCCACCACTGCGATGGCCAGACCGTGGACACGGCTCTCCACACGCTGGCAGAGTGCCCGGCGTGGGTTGAGCAGAGGCGAGACCTCGTGGCGGCCATCGGAGTGGGAGTTCTCTCGCTCGATAGCCTGATTGCGGCTATCGTGCGGAGCGAGAGTGCGTGGAACTCTGCCGTCTCCTTCTGCGAGCAAGTTATGCTCGCGAAGGAGACGGCGGAGCGGGACCGGGAGAGGTTTAGGACTCTCCCGGGAACGGGCCAGGTACCGCAGGCGACTCAGGCGCCGGAGGTCGCAGAACGACCTCCGTCCTCCATAAGCGCACGCCTGGGGGTGACAGGTGAGGCCATCTGTCAGGGAGCACAGGGAACATGGGGTTCCCACACGGGGGGGGGGGGGGGGGGGGTCGTCTACTCGTCTGTAGATGACCCGAGGTATGTCGGGGCACCAGGGACTTCCTTTCTAGGGTATACCTGGCTATTAGTACCCGAGACGGCGTGCGGTTTTAGTCGGTTCGAGTCCGACACCACCAGTGCCACCGACAGGTGGTATCCGAGGGGATTTCCGCACGGAAAAATAAAAAAAAGGGGGTCTATAAAGACAAATTATAGTAATTTTTTCATTATTAATTTCTGCTCGCCCCATGATAACTTCGCTAAAGAATGAGCATATTGGTGACCTTGTAAATTTTAATCTCTTATGTATATAAAGCACAAAACCTCCACCTTTTTTGTTGGCTCTTAGGTTAGTGTACATATTGTAATTGGGTATTTCAAACAAAGGTGAGCAGGTATCCCCAATATTTACTTCAGTCAGCACAACAACATCGACCAGGCGAGTACTGGTGGCTAATATGAGTTCAATCTGTGCAAAGTTCAATGTGATTGACCTTATGTTTACATGTAAAGTTGTTAATATCTGTTTATTTTTAGGTAATGATGTCATATAATCATTCCAGGTATCAAAAGTTCTTTCTAGTATATTACTAGTTGTACTATCCATAGAGGATTAGACATGGTTAGGTAGGTGTAGGTATACATTAATGACGATTTGCAACACAATTAGAAAGCGAAACAGACTCACGGTTTGTTGTTACTTATTTCTTGTGTCCATTTCCTAATGTCCTCTTCTGATCGAATAACATATATTTTGTCCGACTCGGTTTTCCGTATGAGAATGTTGCCGCGTTTACACCACACAAACTTGACCAGATTTGTAAGCTTTAATTCCGACTTTGCACGCCAAAGGAGGTGAGCAGTAGTAGGAGAAAGTGCCTCCCTTAGAAATAATTTCGAGTTACCCTCTCTTCCGATATCTCGTTCCGTAATGACCTTCGTTTTTGCTGCTTCCAACCATGCATCCCGTTGATCCTCTTTCAGAGTTATTACCAGGGTTCCTGCATTCCTCTTCTGACCGTCGGTAGATTTGTTTTGCTTTCTGTACACTTTGATAACGCTTTCTGCTTCCATTTCTAATCTATCTATTGCGTTTATTTTTTGTTCCATAAATTCTGATTTATTTTTAATGTGGGTATATTTGTTGTTTAAATCTTTGTATTGTCTATCTATTATTTTGATTTTTTCTTCATAGCTATTGATTGCCTCCTGAAATTCGTCGAATTTGTCAGAGAAAAACTGGAGACTTCTTTTCATTTCTTCCTGTATGGTTTCTCTGATTTGGCGCCGTATTTCCTGCATCATACTGCCATGGTTTGCTAGCCCTGCTATCTCAGAGTCAGTATTTTCATCCTCTTCATCTGGGAGGATGGCTGAGATTCGTCTTTGATTGGTTTGATTAGAGCAAGGCTTGCACTTCCAATCTGCGGACTCCACAGCGGTTAGGGCGCCTAATTGCTCGGTAGTTAACGATGCACAGCTTGCATGCCACCATTTATTGCACCTGCCACACTGCAGTCCGGCAAATTTTTTTGTAATTACCTTGCTGCACTTAGCACACTTTGCCATTTTAGAGAAAAAAGAAACGATTTCTAAAATTTCACTGAGAAATATATTTTTTTAAATTTCACATAAAGCTTGGATTAATAAGATAAAAATATAAATTAATAGCGATGATATATCTTTGTTTACTACTATGGTACCCGGTTTATAGCGCACACGACCGATTCTGATTCTGATTCTGATTTTTAACATGCCTAAAGTGAAAAGAACTCAACCATCCAAAGCTACGAATGTGAGCCTAACCAGAGAGCCGTCATACTCCGACTCTGAAGTGATTCCATCTCCACAAAGGAACATTTCCTCGAGAAATAAGCGCCCGCGTATGGAATCTTCACCTCATAAAAAATAATCCTCTAGCAATGTCTCACTTGAACTAATTATGACTACACTGACCGCTATGAAAACGCAGCAAGAGGTGACCTTTGCCAAAATTTTCTCTGAAATGTCTGATGTCAAGAAAGAAGTACACCAAATACAACAAACAAACACAGAAATCGAAAAGTCGATAGAGTATATGTATAATCACTATGAGGACCTGAAGCTTCAAATCTTGGACCTTGAAAAGACCCGAGATGAAATTGCTGAAACTATCAACAGGCTCGAGAGGCAACTCCAAGATGTGAAACTGAGTTCGAGGTCATCTACTGTCGAAATACGAAATGTTCCGAACAAAGAAAATGAATCGAGGATATGATTGATATTATGTCTCAGATCGGCAAAACTATCAACTTTGAAGTACCAGCGTCGTAAATACGCGATATATATCGTTTACCGGCCAAACCTGGGACGAACAAAGCTATTGTGGCTGAGTTTTCTACTGTGCGTACTAAAACCAACTACCTGTCGGCATCTCGCAATTTCAATAAAAGCCGAAAATTAGAAGATAAATTAAATACGCAAGTAGTAGGCATGTGCGGTGATAAAAAACCGATATATGTCGATGAATATCTTCCCGGCTTAATGAAGAAACTATTCCTGCAGTCTAGAGACTTTGCCAAAAAGAATGGCTTTAAATTCTGCTGTATTTCGAATGGTAAGATTCTGCTACGCAGAGGCCCGGAGTACAAAGAAACTTACACAGTCAAGACGGAAGGCTGCCTGGCAACCATTCTGAAAAGGAAATGACTATTCAAACTGTGCTACATAATTATCCTGCCTCTTTGTTGTGTCTAAAAATTTTTGGCATGAGTCACAAACTCCGCACACACAATCCTTTTTCTACACACTGCACAACTTACACGTACGATCTATCACGCACGAAGCTCTACCTCACCTTTTCTATTGCTCTGAATATTTTTTATTTACAAAGACTGACGCAATTACTTTCACACCACACTAAATCACAAACATTTATTCGAAATTTTACAACTCAAAAAAACTTATTAAATAGGCATTCTTTGAGACCTATTAAAATTAAACTAAAATTAAATTATAAATGGCTTGTCTAAATAACATTCTTGATGAAATTGATCAACATAGTATAGCAACTTTTGAGGTCTGTGCCCCTCATACATACACTTCGTTACAAAATGTAGCGAGATCGCCTATTAAAATTATGCATATGAATATTCGTAGTGTTCATAAAAATCTTGATAGTTTTTTAATTGTTCTAGCACAAATGCCTATACAATTTGACCTCATAATACTGAAGGAATGCCGGTTGAAAAACTCTGGCCCAACCCTAACTATAGATGGTTATACCGCGTATTCCACTATAAATAACCCAATACAAAATGATGGAGTACTTATCTACGTTAAAAATAACCTTCAGTGTACTGTAACAGAACCGTCTTTCTTTGTGGACGCAAATTGCCTAATCTGTGGCACACAAGACACTGCAATTATAGGCATATATCGTTCACCTTCATACACTAACTTAACTAATTTCTATAATAGCTTGGAAACTGCTGTCTCTGTTTAAAAAGTAGCAAATCTGTTATAGTAATGGGTGACTTGAACGTTGGTATTATACATGACAATGAGGATCCAGACTCACATGAATACCTTCTACATACAGCGACATTGGGCCTTCTGCCAGGTTTTCTATATCCTACAAGACCAAGTTCAAACACTTGTTTAGACCATATTTTACTTAAAACTAAATCCCCATCAAAGGCTTTCTTATTAGAAATGAGTATCACGGATCATCATGCTACGGCTTTATGTATGGACAGAATCAAGGTGAACCGCAAATTTTATCAACAGACAGTCATGCGTTTGAGCTATACTAATGCCGTAAAAGATGTAGAAAGCGCTGACATGGCCCCGGTGATGGACGCTACCGATGCCAACATTGCTGCAGATAACTTAATCACTACTCTTAGAGGCATTGTTCTAGCTCATACCTCACATGTCAAAATTTCAAGAAAGGCTAGAATTATAAAACCTTGGATGACATCTGGTCTTATTCGGTGCATTAAAAATCGAGACAGTATGCATTCAAAGGTAAATTCAGATCCGCAGAACACTGTTCTCAGAATAACTTATACAAGATACAGATTTTTTTGTAATCGGCGTATTAATAAACTCAAACGTTCTTATGAAAAATTTCAATTTACTAGAGCCCAAAATAATAGCAAAGCCACTTGGAAGGTGGTCAAAAAGCTAACCCATACAGAAAAAAAAAATGAGCCAGCTGCGAAGCTCTTAACATTATCTGCGGACCCTTCATGTTCTGTAAACCTGATTAACAAATATTTTGCTGACATGGGGAAGACGTTGGCTTCTAAAATAATTACCTTCCCTGGTGACAGAGATCTGACACCCAAATACAGAATACTCAACTCGATCGCACTTCTCCCGGTTAGTGTACGACCTTTGTAATCTGTCTGTCGTCAATTGTGATATTTTCACTTACGCAGATGACACTGCCCTAGTGACATATGGTAAGAGTTGGGATGACGCTAAATTACACACTGAAAACGCCTTACGGAGAGTAATGCATTGGTTAGCAAGTAACCTACTAACGTTAAATGTTTCAAAGACCAAAGGACAATGGCAGGTCCCCATACATAATTTTATTTGAACTGAAATGTTAGCGTTTAAATATCAAAAAATCCTTAGCACTTGAGAATTTATTCTTGACCATTCTCATATCAAAATTACTTGCGAAAGAAGTCTAGGAAAAAAGATATTGGATTTTGAATGTTTCGAGGTTAAGTACTAACATATTGTTAATGTTTTGTTTGAAACTAGATGGCGTTGTGTGTCAGATAGCCGAAAATATTATTTTCGTTATTATTACAGTATATGGAATAAAAAAAATAAAAGCATAACATCTATTCGAGTTCAACACTAAATTAAACAAAAATAAAATAACAAACGTGGTGAGTCCGGAACTTGACAGGATCTAAACCACAGATTAAGAGATATGTACTAAACGACGACGTATCGACATTTTGAAAATATCGATGTATGTCTATTTATGTGCCGTTATCAATGACAATGTATTTTTCTCATCACACTGTGTAGTGGAAAATAACGTAACTAAATTCTATTTCTTTAGTGTGTTTAAAATCGTTTAAAGAGAGTCAAAAATATTTTAAATCATTTCTAATTATGTTGATTCAGTCACTCTACCGTACGAGTGAAGACGTGGGCAGAAGCAAATTTATAACCATAATAGTGAACCTGCGGTAAATATTTCAGCCAAAGCTATAAGAATCGATTATCGATAAATTGTTCCATAATATAATATTGCCACCACGCATCCCTAGTCAGTTATACGTGATGGCGAATCTGACATTACGTACTTAGGTCAAATAAAATCTTCAAAAATATCCTATCTCTTATAAGACTTATACAACACATGGTGGTGTAATGATAAATCATAGAAAAAATTTTGATTAAGTTTACTGTGACTCGATTTTTTAAACGCTTAAGTTTTAGGAAAATATGTTTCTGCCATTGTTCTTTTTACGTTTTATTCTACCACACACACCAAAAGCTGTTGAAGGAATCGGCAATCTAATAGCTCATAACTGTCCGCATAACAGTGAAGCCTGTACCTGTCTGTCGTTGACTAGGGTTGAATCCATAAAATATCTCGGATTGTTCGTCGATCACAAACTAGACTGGACCACTCAATTGGAGTCATTAACTTCTCGTATCAGAAGACTTATATATATTTATATATTTAAAAACCTAAGGTTCTCAGCGGATAACAATACTCTCCGGTTTTTTACCTGGCTCTGTGTCAATCTATCCTGACGTACTGTATACCTGTGTGGGGGGGAACTCATAAAACTGAGTTACTTAAGTTAGAAAGGGCTCAAAGGGAATTGTTAAAAATAAATTATTTTAAACCACGTGACTACCCGACGTATATGTTATACTCAGAATGTAATGTCCTATCTGTTAGACAATTATATATCTTAAGATCCATCCACCGCAAGCATTCTATGATTTCGTTCAAAAACCAGCTTGTTAGTCAGCGGCGTCGTAGGTGACTAAGAGTGAGGTAAAAAAAAAACTTATTTCCTGGCTACAGACGTTAACATATAGTGATACCGAGGAGCTTCTAACCACTTTACAGTAGAATGAGATTTTACACACACACACACACACGCACACGCACACACTCACACACGCACACGCACACACTCACACACGCACACGCACACACTCACACACACACACACACACACATACCACACACAGATAGACACTTCTTGTTTTATTTTAATTCTTTAATAACATAAGTACTTTGTTCGCCCACTGCATGTACCAAAATTTTATTTTTGTAACCGATATAAGACTGTTCCTGCGTCTCATCGGGCTGTGCGGCCCCCGCACCAAACCGGTTCCGCGACCTTCAACAACGGCCGGGCGAGAGCTGCTCGGCGCGGGCGGACACTCGCTCAAGAAATGTCCACGCGTGCACATCACCTTTTATAAATCATTGTAACAAGTGAAATACAGTATATACAGTCTACTACGCGTTTATTTTTACAACGCTTACAACACACATCCAGTCAAGCACACCAGCCACACAACTGGAGCTTGGC